AATGAAAATCTTCTGTGAAATTAGAAAGGAATGCAAAATAGAAGCATTTTCACTAGTGGTCTCAGACTTCTGGAACCCACTGTACTTCTGAAATAATTGCAAAAGGTGTAGGTAGAGTATTAGCTGTGGGGGTACCCCATGATTTTTTTCCTGATAATTATCTATTCCTCTTGAATTATTATTATTATTATTATTATTATTATTATTATTAATAATAATAATAATAATAATAATAATAATACATGTGTTTCTCTGGCATGATTCATCTTGATATCTGGCTTTACATCATAAAAACCTGCAATTACATCAGGGGTGAACAGACTTACATCCACGGTAAGTGGACCAAATAAAATGGACAGTGAAGGTAGATATAGGGAGTTGTACCCAAAAAATAAATAGGTAAATAATTACATAAATAAATGCAAAAGCCATGTTTGAATTCTTTTGTAGGTCTGTATCTAAAACGTAGCGTATCGTGATGCAAAAACAGCAATGCGTGTCATATTTTTAGAAGTTCCTTATTGCTGCACCCCTAATGGGAACGGTGACTAAAAATACATCAGCATCTACATCCATGGGAAACACATCAGTAAATAGAGTTGAAAACTGTAGTTGAAAGCACATTCAGTGACTGATGCTTATGCATTAGTATGATATGAATGGAGTAAATGGAAGAGCAGCTGTTGCTCGGATGATTGAGAATGTCAATACAGGATGTGATCAGACTCTGTCAGCAAGAACAGTGCATCTGTAACTACATAGAGAAGGATATTAGAGTAGACTTGCATTGCATATGCTATGGCCTTCACAGTCACCAGATCTCAACCCAGTTGAACACCTGTGGGACTGAACAACATGTTATACGGTCCTCTCCACCAGCATCATCAAACACCAGTTGAGGGAATATCTCGTGAAAGAATGGCATTCCATCCCTTCAGTACAGTTCCAGATTAGAATCGATGCCACGGCGCATTGAAGCTCTTCGGGCAGCTCACAGTTAGAGTTCTTTGATCACCCGTCTGTATGTATCTATATCATCGCTGTCAGAACACAGCCTCTCCAAAATGGTAACTTTGCAGGAGAAGGAAAAAGTCTTTCCTAACCTTTAAGCAGTGTCGGTCTATTTATGTTGGTTTGTTTGTCTTTTCATTTTGACATGGTGTAAATGGCAGCTGGCATATTGGCACGCCTGGTAAAGATGAGCTGAAAGAGTTACAAGAAATTCACCTTTCAGTGAATTAGCTTTATCTCACTCTGAAAAAGTGAGACAAATCCGACCTTTAATTAAAGTAAATTAATTCAAGATCAGAGCGCCAGTCCATTGCAATGACTGCTGGGATAGGCTCCGGCACCCCTTCGCGACCCAGAAGGATAAGCGTCTTAGAAAGTGTGTGTGTGTGTGTGTGTGTGTGTGTGTGTGTGTGTGTTCTGAGAAACAAGAAATAATTATTTTTATTAAAACCACATGTCCCTCAGGATCAATCCATCCATCCATAACAGGAATGGGTTTTCCCGTCGAATTTAAGTCCATTGATATTCCTAACAGTGAAAACCACAAATGTAAAACAAAACAAACAAATAAGATAAAAACCTCCACTGTGCAGCTCTCGAAACTGCAAAAAGCTGGATTGGTTAGCCTACCTTGAACGGTTGATTAACCTGTTTTCTGTTATACCCTAAACCGAGCAGCAGTAATTTGTTACTACTGCTCCATTTATGGTAGATGGTAAATTTTAATAAGAAACTGGTGAATAGTAAGAAATCATGAGTCTCCTGCAAGATTCAGGCAGCCACTAAGTGCTGGTTCTGAGCTCCTGAAACAAATGACTCCCTCTGTAGGAATGTTAATAGCTACCGGTTTGAACCTCTATTCGGTTGGGGATTCCGTAGTTTGGTGGTAGAAAATTTAGAAAATCCACTCTTACATTCATTTCAGTCAGAACTTAAGAGCTACACTTGATGTAGAAACACAAGATCAGATTGTGAATTTACTTGTAATGCCCGGTTCATTTAATATTGACACACAGCCTTATAATTTCCATTTTTGGTTACTTTTTTTATATATATATATATATATATATATATATATATATATATATATATATATATGTGTATATATATATATAGTATAAGTACTGTTGTTTATCTTATGTTTTACTAATTTTATGTCTTCTAAGAAATACAAAAAAGTCTAAGTCTATTTGGAAAAGAAGTCATGTATGTGCATGTGGAGGACGTAATGAAGTGGCTGGTCGGGTTGTTTGTGTGTGTGTCTGTAGGAATTTGTGTCCATCAGTGGCATTTGTGAGGTCAGGCACAAAAAGGCCTGGCCCACAAACGACGTTTCAGTTCGTCCCAAAGGGGTTCAGATCATGGCTCAGGCCACACCAAATTCAAACCGTGTCTTTTATGAAGCTCACTTTGTGCACAGAGGCACAGTCATGCTAAAACAGGATAGGGTCTTCCCCAAACTTGCCTCAAAGTATGTCTAAAATGTCTTTGTATGCTGAAGCATTAACATTTCACCTTCATTTGAACCAAGAGGCCTAGCCTAAACCCTGAAAAACAGCACCAGACCATTATCCTTCCTCCACCAAACTTTACTGTTAGCACTGGTTTTTGAGAGGTAGGATTCTGCTGCCATCCATCAAACCTAGGTTCATCCATCAGACAGCATAATTCATCACTCCAGAGAACACGTTTCCACTGCTTCAGACTCCAGTGCAGGTGTGCTTTACTCCACTCCAGCCAATGCTTGACATTACACAAAGTGATCTTAGCTGCTCGGCCATGGAAACCCGTTTCCTGAAGCGCTTGACGCCCAGTCAGTCTGCTGATGTGGCTTCCAGAGGCAGTTTGGAACTTTGCTCAGTGATGCAGCAGAAGATAGGCGATTTTACACGCAGCTCAGTTCAGTACTTGGCGGCTCTTGAGTTTGCATGGTCTGTCGCTTTGTGGTTGAGCTGTTGTTGCTTTTAGACACTTCCTTTTCATGGTAATAGCACTTAGATTTGACCAGGGCAAATTTAGCAGGACAGAAATTTCACGAACTTGTGGCAAAGGTGACATCCTGTGACAATCACAAAGCTCTTTAGTGTGACCCATCCTGCTGCCTGTTTATCTATGGAGATTGCATGGCTATTTGACAAGCCTTCGTAGACCGTGTCCTTTGAAGGCTGCAGCCCCTGAATTGGGACACTCTCTGTGTGTGTGTGCGTGTGTGTGTGTGTGTGTGTGTGTGTGCGCACTCCCCAAATCGTTCTCAGCTGTCTGTAATCAGGGGTGGAGTCTTACACACATCTGCCTTCAGCCGCTACCCTGATCAGGTTTGATCATGACACTGTTTTAGACTGTGCTTTAGTGCTTGTTTTACATTAAGCCAAAAGAGAATTTTGATGATAAATAACCATGATAAGTGTAAATTAGTCCAAGACTGGGGTATGTTTTATTTTATATCATGGTATAAAAATGTCGAATCTTACAAAGTGAATACTCAAATACATCAAATTTATTAGTTTCAGATATGAGGTTGGGGAACATTCTGCAGTACTATAAGAGCTTGCATCTCTTGATGCTCTATTTCCTGTAATTTGTTTTATAATGTTATGAAAGTATTTTAAAGTCTCACACTTATAAAGCTTCTGTTCCTTGCTCCAAGGGAACTAGGAACCTTGATTTCTTTCCTACAAGTAGTCTGTGTAAACTTTCAGGTAACTATATCTTTCTTTGGAATGAAAAGGTAAGTCATGGCAAGCTGCTTACTTCTTTTTTTTGTTTGTTCCTTATTTATGCTCACCTGATCCAATATTATAGCATCCAAGTCAGAAAAACATTTATAATGGGTTTTATAATGGCCGTTTCTAATGGGGTTTCCAAAATTCCCTGATTGTACTATCAAAGGTAATTAGAGGAATGCATCTGCACCTGCATACACTGATCAGGCATAACATTATGAGCACCCCCTTGTTTCTACACTCATTGTCCATTTTATCAGCTCCACTTACTATATAGGTGCACTTTGTAGTTCTACAGTTACAGACTGTAGTCCATCTGTTTCTCTGTATACTTATTTGGGTGGTGGATCATTCTCAGCACTGCAGTAACACTGACATGATGGTGGTGTGTTAGTGTGTGTTGCGCTGGTCTGAGTGGATCAGACACAGCAGTGCTGCTGGAGTTTTAAACACCTCAGTGTCACTGCTGGACTGAGAATAGTCCACCAACCAAAAATATCCAGCCAACAGCGTCCTGTGACCACTGATGAAGGACTACAGGATGACCAACACAAACTGTGCAGCAGCAGATGAGCTATCGTCTCTGACTTTACATCTACAAGGTGGACTGACAAGATAGGAGTGTCTAATAGAGTGGACAGTGAGTGGACACAGTGTTTAAAAACTCCAGCAGCACTGCTGTGTCTGATCCACTCGTACCAGCACAACACACACTAACCACCACCACGTCAGTGTTACTGCAGTGCTGAGAATGATCCACCAACCAAAAAGTATATCAGAGAAACAGATGGACTACAGTCTGTAACTGTAGAACTACAAAGTGCACCTATATAGTAAGTGGAGCTGATAAAATGGACAATGAGCGTAGAAACAAGGAGGTGGTCAGAATGTTATGCCTGATTGATGTATTTACACCTGCATCCAGTGAGCACTGCATATCACTTTTTGTTTTGTACATGATTTGCAATTTGATTGCGATGTTACATGTTTAATAATTAATATTCATTCAGAATTGTTATTCACATTGTTTCCTCCGGCTAACCCAGTGTATAACTGGTGGTAACGCTGAAAAGCATTTTGTGTCCGTAACAAAAGTCAATCCTCCATATGTCTCCCAGCAAACTGCCCTTTTCGCGTTTCTCTTACAAGTTTCTAGACATATGGTGCAGTGCTTTTCCAGACGAGAAATATCTGAGCATAAAACTTTATTGAATATGGATGTTTTTTGTGCTTGCTAACCCTTTGCATGTTGTCTTTTGATTATAGGCCAAGGAGGTTCGAGATTGGACAAAGGCGGCATTCTGTTTACCTGTAACTGAATGTGAGCTTTCGCTGACCTATGACAGTTAAAATGGGGTTTCCATGGAAACTGCTGGTGCTGCAATCATTCATGGGGTGCCTTGCAGGTAAGCATCTTAACCTCATCTGTAAGCATTCCAGTGCACTCTTTGGCAAATATTCATTCTTGTCTTTGACTATTAAGGGCAATTTCCATTCATGAAAATGACTCTCCATCTGGCACTAATCTTGGAGAAAGACACATTTTTATTGCGCTTGTTGGCTTTTTAATGCAAGCAGACGTACTGGACTGCACAAATTCCCTCAGGAGTTTAGAAAGCATGAGCTGGTTCACAGTGACCTGTTGGGCTGGGTATGCTGCACACTTAAAATGTTGAGCACGCAGTGTGTGTTGAAATTCATATTGTATGATAACTGATTTTAGTTTTTGCTGGTTGCTTCCAGTAGGGAGCAAAACTTTGTTCCCATTCGATAAAGTTTATGCCAAGACAAGATAATTAAAAACGGAATTTAAAGAGCAGTTTTACAAGTGCTTCTAGCGCTCATTAATTTTCTGCTCAGCGGCCCAGGTGGTGGTAGAAAAACCTCTCTGTTGATCTCTTGTGATGAAGTGGTTAGATTTTCCTTCTATATGGAGTATAAAATGTCTTTGATTAGGGGAAAAACACAGAAGATCCAGATCTAAAGTGATTTCCTGTTGATGGGTATATAAAAATAATTCCGTTTGAGTTTGTTATATTACAGTTAGAGGTGGGAGGTATGCCAGCATAAAAGTGAATACCAGCATGCATACCATTTACGATACTAGTTCACAGTGTGCTGTTGTAAACCTTGTAACAAGACCTCAATGCTTGCCAAAAAAAAACAGAAAAACACTTAACAAGGAACAAAAAAGATTAAGGAAATAAGATAATGGCATAATGGGCTGATTACCAATTAATCACTTGTTACTCTGTTGTTATTAATACACTGGTTGTTGTACAAGCTCAAATCTGTCTTCATGACACATGCTAGGGGCCTATCTCTATTTTTTGAGGTGCTGATAATTGATATTTGGGGTCAGTACTCATTTGCCAGAAAACTTAAGTTTATAGTGTGGAAATTTACAGGAATGCAATTCCTACATGAAACATACATTAACAAAACAAAGTTTAATGAAATACTAACACTTGCATGTGACTGAAATAAAGTGCATGGAGCTTCCAGGTCCTGGAGAGCCAGATTTCTGCATAGTTTGGTGATTTCTTGCTCAGACACACTTGAATCAGCTTGGCTCACCAAACTCCCACCCTGGCGTTAACATTTAGAAATGGTAACGATAAAGGAAGCTGGTCAGGATACAGGAAACTTTTGGAAGGAAACTTTGGATAAAAAATAATAACTTGTAAACAGATTTGAAAAATATGTAATTATATATGTAATATCTTTTTTGAAACATAAAAAATTACAATTAAATAATAAATGAAGTGTCCAACACCGCCTAAACATTTGGAAACAGTAGAATTTTAAAGGACCGTTATCATGCAAAACTTTATTTTTTTTGCTTTTTTTGTACTAAGAGTTTGATGTAGTATGTAAATGAAGTTTGTTTGCCTTAAACAATAAGTGACAATGACATGTTGCGAGTTATTCCTAACACACAGCACATTCTGAATCCTAAATACTTCTGTCACAAAAGCCATTATTTTCCATTGTCAAGGCATTACAAGTTCACATTTTACAGCAGAAACAGTCAAACGTAGTGCTGTTCTCGAGCAGGACCCCAATTCCATTCAGCGAAACAGCTCACAGTATTCGGGTTGGGTGACGCAACGCTGCCGCAAGCTGTTTAGGCAGAATCTCAAGTGGCTCTTTTCTCCCTACAAAATGCAATACGTAGGTCTTAAAATAATGACTATGGCATCTAAACAGTGCACAGCCTGTCTAACAGAGAACCATGTGGGATTCAGCCATATGTGCACAATTCCGTACTGAATATAAAGTGCAGTGTTTTGTGTAAAAGCCAAAATTTCATAACACACGTAGTGATCTATATAAGGAGCAGTGAGCCATTTGATAGTCAGCCTTAGCATTGGCCGTGGTGTGATCTTAAACATGTTTAATGTTGGTTTGTTGCAGTTTTCAGCACTTTATCTACTCGTTTTATGGTAAAGAATGTTACATATTGCATTTAAAAGAAACTTGTATCCATTACATCGCTTTGAACTGTGAAGTATGAATTGACCATTGGAGTTATTTAAAATTAATGAAGTTTATTTTTGTAAATTACCTGTATTTATTTATTTTTTTGTTGTTTTCACTTAATCAGCCCAGCCCAACTATAGTTTGATTGATATTACCTAGAATGCACCATTTAAAAAAATAAAATAAAATAAAATAAAAAAAGATTTACAAAAATTCAGTAACTTGGAGATCGCCCATTCACGCTAAGCAGTGTTTAACCTGGGCTGCGTTCAGCCCCAACAAAATGTAGCAAAACATTTATTTAAATGGAAATGGTGGTGCGTTGACCACTCTGTGTTACACCAGTGTTGCAACTATGGCAGCTGAGAAGGCCATTCTTGGCATCCTTCTAACTTATTCATATAAAAATTATAAAACTCGACCAACGTCTTCTAACTTATTCAATAGCTGCATATACCAAGCTGTGACTGCCTTTGTAGAGGACTTGGTTAAATCCGTTGTGTGCACAGCCTTTTTAATATGGCGGATTTTTTATGCACGTCACTGCTGATTGGGTAACACCTCAGACACACTGATCAAGCAAAAGAAAATGTACTTCAAAGCCTGTTTCACACAGATTTGCACCATTTTGACGAAATATGCACGATGTTTTGATTGAAGATTGAACGTGCCCTTGGACTACTTTTTGAATGAGGCACAATACAGGACAGCCAATCAGAACAGAGCCATTTATATGTGTTGTCTTAAAGGTACAGTAACCAAAGCAGTCTGGAAAATTGTCATGTAAAAATGGAAAATGACTGTGTGGTTTTATAAACTAAAAACACCAAAAAAGTGTTATATATGAGTTTAAAACATACCCAAAAATAGCTAAAAATAAATTTAAAAATAAAATTGTGTGTATATATATTAAAATGTTATTTTCTGAAGATATATGGAAAATATTGTGATATACATTTATATCGCCCGCCTCTTCAAACAATTAGTAGTGCTCTTATACAGTTGAAGAAGCACCCTGCTTAGAACTCAGACGATGGATAACTTACCTGGTTCTCTATAATGCATGCTGTGTGTTTTGGAGTCAGCAGAGTGTGGATCAGTATGGATACAGTGTAGTGTCACGCTTGGCCTCTCTGCAGACCCTAAACTCCCGAAGAGAGTTCATCTGCACTGATGCAGCCCTCCCAAGAGCAGAACCAGGCTGTGCACAGACAGGCCTGCTGATTAAGGTCCAGCGAGCACAAAAGAGAGTGGACGTGACTAGAAAGGGCAGGCCATGTGAGGCGCAGGAGCTTGATAAGTAAAGGTGACCTCTAGATGAGAAATATGAACCTTGAGTGACCGCAAGATTCTTTCCTCACTGCTCTTCATTTTTGACCTAATACCTAACATTTGTGCTGAAGATAATAAAAAAAACATTTTTTTCATTTTCACTTCATGTTAGAAAAGGTTATATTCTGTTGAAGTGAGTAGGCCTTTGACAATTACTACTTTATTGACTGAGTGTGGTTGTTTGAGCTGATTGCATCTGTTTTTCACAGTTGTCAGCTTTTATAATCATATGTTTAAGTTGCAAGAAGCAGAATGTGAATTGGGTGCATTTTCATTTATTGGGTTGAGGAAAATTCATGTAAAGAAAGCAAAAAACTCACGTATTGTCATACGTAATAGGTGCTGTACCCCTGGATGAGTAGTGTATTTTTTTTTTTTTAGCTGTGTCTGTGGTCAGGTCAGGGCTACTGAGTTGACAGCTGGGAAGCAAGATGGCTAATGACTAGTGACTTTAGGCTTGTGCTTTTGAAATTTGCATATAATGAGTGACAGTTATTTTTATTTCAGTTAATTGTCAGCTAAAATTTCTTGATAATGGCAGGCCAGGCTCTGTCTCTGTGTGTGTATGTGTATATATGTGTGTATGTATATGTATGTATGTATGTATGTATGTATGTGTGTGTATATATATATATATATATATATATATATATATATATATTGACTTACATTATAAGTAAAGTTGTTTTTTTTTCCTTTTCCTTTAAAGTGACCATTTTGGAGATACAACGTTTTCTTCTGATAACAGCCATATATAATATACATACATACATCATATATGCAAACCTGTTCTTGGTGCAGCCCAGTATGATTTGTGGACATCATAACACCTGGTTTGGCTAATCCATACTTCATTCTGTTAAATCAAGTGTGCTGGTAATAGAATTTGACAAATCTCTGTGACGGCTGGGGGGCGTCCAGGAGACGGCTGGGGGGCGTCCAGGAGACATCTGGAACCAAACTTTGTTCCTCAGACTAGCTCACAAGATATTAGCTACTTTTTCAAAATAAGAACTCTTTGTTGCTTTTCATTGTGTTTATGTTCATGTGCAACTATTCTAATTATATATTCAGCCCAGTACTTGCATACAATATTTTTTAGGGATGCACTGATTATTACTTTTTATGGTGGTTCTGATTTCTCTACAGCAAGATTGGCGTATTGGCGGAATTTTTTGGCGTATTGTCAGTAGCTTATTGGCCATTTTTTTTAATTGTTGCAGGCAACAAAGACAATAACTATTAATTTACTTTTTTCAGCCTTGCAATTTGCTAGTGGGTCAGTTTCTTCCTGAAACTATAGTAAACACACCGTTCAAATGAACACATCGTTAACAACAAGCTCAGAAGACTGCTGACAGATATGGTAATCACAAACCGATACTGAATGTACCACTGTAAAAATGTATTAAAGAGTATTAGATTTGCATGTTGGGTGCTTCAAATAAAAAATAAAAAAAAAACAGCCATAATATTAAACATTACATCTCTATTAGCTTGGCACTAATGGAATGGGATTATGCTAGCAAACAAAAAAAGGAATAGTTCCACAGGAAATACTGCTATTTAATGGTAATGTTTATGATTACAT